AAAAATTAGTTACACAGAATTGTGACTACTTTGTATACTTTATTTTTGTAAAGAAAACATACTAAATGATAAAAAGATAAATTAAACTCTTATCTATATAAGAAAAAATGGTATCTTTGCAACTGCGCACAGATTTCTACTTTTCTTTAAAAATAAAAAAAAACAGTATAGAAGTAAAATAACTTGTACTTCCTAGATTGCAGAGCTTTTCATGCAGAATTTTGAGGTATGACTTGGCTTTTTAATAGTGTGTATTTTGAAATGAAATTAGATAATTGCAAGTTTGATCATTTACTTGTTATTTATTTTTTTCAAAAAAGATTATGCGAGAAAAATTGTTTCACAGTTCAAATTAAAATGTAAAAGAATTTGTTCTGCTGGACTCCTTGAAGCAATTGTCTAAGCTAATTCTAGAAAGTAAATTCAAAAAAAGTGAATTATTATGAAGAAAGGATTGAGCAATCTGGAACATTTATCAAACAAACATAAATCATTTGTCTTATTATTTTTTATCGATGATGAATCTATTGTGACACAGTTAATATTCTATTAAATTTTTCTTGTATAAAAGGTTTTACATCTGAATCAAAATCCTTAGAAAGAATCCGAGTAACTCCACCTGAAGATATAACTTTTGTCGTTTTGTCTATATGAATGTATTTATTTTACAATTTGAATTGATCAATAAACTAGAAACAAAACAATGCATAATTGAAAAGTATTTTGTCAAATCTACGAAAATTTATAGAATTTTTATCTCATTTTTTCTTTATACTAGTCTTTTAGAATTTCGCCGGTTTTCTTCAGCTAAAAAATTGTATACAATCTAAAGCACAATTTATTTTTGAGAATGAACAAAAACCAATGTTAGTACAACTGTTACTTATACCTTCCGATATTGTCTTTCATACAATCAGATCTTAGACTTTTTGCCTTAGCAATATAATTCATAGTTTTGATGAATGTCATACTAAAGAATGGAAATTAAGCACGATAGCAAAAAAAAAGGCTGAGAAAGAGCATGAGTCAAACTCTCATGAAACAAATGTTACAGTTTCTATATCTCGCTTATTTTAGATCAAAATTTTGAAATGTTTTCCATGGTCCGATAGTGGGATGTCTAAAACCAAAACAAATCTGCAGAGGAATATAGTCCGTGGAAAAATCAGCATTTCTGTTTTTTCCTTTTTATTAATAATAATAATAATTTTCACAATTATTTTTATAATCAACATTCAATGTTTCGGTTTTGGTGTAAAATTTAGAAATGATTGATTTGTTCGTGTAATGCATGATAGATTTTATTTGATGAATGTCGTTTCACCTAATATACGTTCTTCATTTTATCTTGTATAAGTCGATCGTCGTTGGCAGGATGGTTGTTATATAAACTGATCAGCAAGATTGGGATATGCATAAACGGCAGTTTTTTTTCAGTACATGATCGTTTGTTTTTGTGATTAAAAATCGATTATTCTCGTTTTAATGCCCCTCCTTCTCTCAAAAAATCAATCTTAGCCCTGTGACATCGAGATGCCTTGAAACTTTAAAAACCAAAAATAGCTTACTGCATCTCCAAACAAATCTCTTTGTGTATATTCATCCAATTTAGTTGATTATTTTGTCATATGAAAGAGCATGTCAAAATACAGTGCCTATAAGAACCTTTGTTCTTTAAATTGATATCTTCATGAAGAGAGAAAATGCTCAAAAATCGAATTACTTAAAAGTTCCCCAAAAACGAATGATGATTTTATTATAAGAAAGCATTATGAAAAAAAAGAGTCTTCACAGGCACTGAAGATGCATCATTCGATTAAAATTTTGATTGTTTTAAAAACCGCTGATTCTTCGAATAAGAATTTTTGAGAAAAAAAGGAGGTAGCAAAGAAAAATTTTTCATTATTTATATAAAGGTAAATGGACTTTAATTGATTATTTAATCTCGATAACCAAAGAATGCGTAAGCACAGATTGTTGTTATTTCGTGCATTCCAAAATGTCTGTCCGAGGTTGGTTTGATACTGTATCGACTATTTGTCGACGTGAAGAGTCAGAAAAAGCAATAAAAAACTATGATATCTCGACTAAAACTTGCGAGAAACGCAATTTTTTTCGTTAACGTGATTAAAATCTCGTTTTTTTTTCTTAACAATCGGTATGACTATGTCATTTATTATAGTTGAGAAAGAAAAGAATTTCTTTATCGAACAGTACTCATCATTAATTAACCATTAGATTTCGTATACAATTTTTATATTTACAAAAAAAAAATATAATATTATTCTTCATTAGAATTTTTGATATTATTTTTGTAAAGATATAAAAGAAATTGTAAGATAATATACAACATCTAACTTTGCAAGCGATAATTAGTATACAACATGTGATGTATCTTCAATCGATCGATTATACAAATGTGATATATGTTCATTATAAAGAGAATAATAAACTCAACAGATATGTTTAGGAAAGTAAATGTATGCTTCATTTCCATAAATATCACTATCATATGATAGTTTAAAACAGACTATCACAAAAAAGAAACATTTATCATCTATTATTATACTTGTTTATACAACTTATAATAATATATAAAACAAACCATTTCTGTTCATTGTTCATCAATATACATTTATATATATATTGAGCTAATTTATCAATGATTTAATTTTCTAGTCAAATTAAAATAATCTTAAGTAAGAAATGAATATATTATGTTTATTTCTAGAATAATCTAAATGAATATTAAATAATCCATTATATATTTGTTTGTTGTTCAATGAGATAATAGACGAGTCGAGTCGAGTCGAGTCATTATCATTATCAACGTTGCATTAGTAATCGAGTCAACATTCTTCTTTATCGTTGAACAGATAATTGAATATGTCTGCGATAAAAGCATCGTCTTGTCAGTTATTTAGCTGTTTTTTCCTTATATATCCATTATAACTATATTGTTCATCATTTTTATACTTTAACTTATATTCTTGCAAAAATATTTTCTATTTAGATCTTTTTTTTACAATGAATCAAACAAGTAGCGTTCATCGTCAAACGATTCACTTAGCCCTAGACTGATAGAATGCATGGACGGATGTAATAGCATAAAAAGCTACATTAAAAAAGTAACACGCCAAACTGATAATATGATCCTTATACCTTAGGCGACCAGAAAACTTAATATGGAGAATTCTGATTCTAAGTAAAGATGATGCATTTAGAAATTTAGTTTATTTTATCGTTTTTAGTTTATTTTTTTTCCTTTTATAAATATAAAAGGCGCCCAATAAGATTAGACAACAATACGAATGTTTTACAATTATATTGGCGCCATTTGTACGTACAAAAATATGAATTATATTATTCATCAAATTTCTGTTTTAATAATCAACTTTTTATGCTGAAATTTGCAAATTAATTCTAAACTATTAATAAATTAGGTATTCATTGACACAACATTCCACAATCAATCCTACGATAATCAATAATTTAAACGATTTCTTTAAATTCATACTGCTCATTTGGTCTGACTCTCAGTAATTAAATGCTTTTGTAAGCCGTTTTACACCACTACCCGAATTATAGTTATTCCATTGATACTTTACCCATGTCTATTGTGGGTTCCTTTTCATCACTCTTTAGATGATACTATTTATAATTGTTACTGGAATAGTTGTTTGTACCATGGTTGCTATATGGTCACCTGTACCATGGCTACGTGGTAGTTTCTCCCAAAAAAATGACCGTTTGTGCCATAGTTACATGCTCATTTCGTGCATAGTAACCTAGTTAATTTCAGTAAAAAAGTGGTCCTTTGTGCCATGATAATGGTCACTTGTGCCAAGAAAATGGTCGTCTTGTGCCAAAAAAGTGGTCGTTTGCGCCAAAAAAGTTGTCACTTGTGCCAAGAAAAACGGCCGTTTATGCCATAAAAATGGTCTTTTGTGCCAAAAAAATGGTCACTTGTGCCAAAAAAGTGGTCGTTCGTACCATAAAAATGGTCGTTTGTATCATAAAAATGGTCACTTATGCCAAAAAAAATGGCCGTTAATGCCAAAAGAACGGTCACTTGTGCCAAGAGAAATGGTCATTTATGCCATAAAAATGGTCACTTGTGCCAAAAAAATCGTCACTCGTGCCAAAAAAATGGTCGTTTGTGCCAAAAAAATGCTCACTTCTGCCAAAACAACTGGCCATTTATGCCAAAAAAATGGTCGTTTGTGCCAAAAAAAGTTGTCACTTGTGCTAAGAAAATGATCATTTAAGCCACAAAAATGGCCGTTAATGCCAAAAGAACGGTCATTTGTGCCAAAAAAATGGTCGTTTGTGCCAAAAAATGGTCACTTCTGCCAAAAAAACTGGCCGTTTATGCCAAAACAATGGTCGTTTGTGCCAAAAAAATGGTCACTTGTGCCAAAAAAGTGGTCATTCGTGCCTTAAAAATAGTCATTTGTGCCCAAAAAATAGTCACTTGTGCCAAAAAAGTGGTCGTTTGTGCCAAAAAAGTGGTCGTTTGTGCCAAAAAAATGGTCATTTGTGCCCAAAAATTGTCATTTGCGCCAAAAAAATGGTCGTTTGTACCGCGTTACCGACAGACAGACAGACACAGGTGAATTTAGGTTTCTAGACCCTAGCCTTTCAATCTAGGGAACAATTTAGATTTTTTTTTTACAATGAATCAAACAAGATTATTTCTATTTGGTTTATTATTATTATTAAATGTTCAAATAATATCATCAAATTCTTATTATTTAATTGATATTGATAAAAATATATCATTTAATACAAGTTATTGTTCAAATATATTAATAAATAAAAATTTATATCGTTTACCAAATCAATGTCATAAACATTTATTATGTTATCGATATAATTGTGATTATCGTTTATATCGTTGTATGAAAATTCGTGAAACATTATGTTGTTTATATAAATATATTAAAAAATATTGTCAAAAAGAAAATTTTAAAGATCATTTTCGTTTTATTTATTTTCATATATAAATTTAACATGGTTATTGTGAAATAAATTTAGAACGTATCGAACAAAATGATCAAACATATTGTATTTCAAATAATATTCAAACAACAAATATATCAAAATATTATCATCGTTATTATACTCGATCTACTTTTACAACTGATCTTACATCAAAATCTTCTTCTATTTATATAAATTATATCATTTTAATATTATCAATATTATTATAGATAAATATAAAACATATTCTTTTTCGAAATTTTGCTTGTCATGTTGATCAAATTTAAGATAAGATATTACGAACAGCGACACCATTGACCTCGATGCATATATATACATAGCACTTTGGAGTTATTCGAAAATGACGTAATCATATGGAAGAGTTTGATACTTTTTTTCAATCATATTTAGCACTTGTTGTGTACATGAACACGAAAAATAGTTTCTATTTCTTTGTTGTTCAGTTGAAAATTAGCCCATCTCGCTACTTTTTGAGTTATTTATTACATAAAATGATGTTTTTTTTTCATTGAAGCAATCAAAGCAGAAAAGTTTTTATTTTCTTTGTTGTTGTTGGTTTTTGTAACTATTCCATCAGCTGTCGGTTATCAACCAACATTAGCTACTGATATGGGTACTATGCAAGAACGTATTACTACAACTAAAAAAGGTTCAATTACATCCGTACAGAGGTATGTCGAAGAAAAAGAAAACAATCATTTTTTATTACCCGATTAGTTTTTAATTAATAGATGATCGAATATATTTTGGACAAAATATTTTGTTCCGCTAGAAAGTGTTTTCTATGAGTTAGAACCAAAATTGAGATATTTTGTAGATTAACTTCTCTTCTACGAGCTATTTTATAAATCAATATTCTAACTTTTAGTTTTGAATCAAAATAGTGCGAAAAAAAAATTTCCGCCAGAAGTAATTTTTCAGGTATTTCAAAGATTATTTCACTAGTCTAGTATAAAAAAAAACGAGACAAGATTTTTTTAAAATGTATATTCGAAAAGAGCACAAAATTGTGATTTTAACTCATAGGAAATATTTTTAAACAGAACAAAAAATTTCTGATCACACGAAAACAATAAGATTTTAATAGACTCTGAAAAGAAACATTATTTGAAATTGTACAGATCAGAAAATGTCAGTAAAATTTCAAAGAAAGAAAAGCATAAAAAATTTATATTTTGTTTTAATGTATAACAATAGATAGAGAGTATTCAAATATACCAATCATCGTTTACAATTGTTTTTATTAATATTTAGGCTATTTATGTACCAGCTGATGATTTAACAGATCCAGCTCCAGCTACAACATTTGCACATTTAGATGCTACAACTGTCTTATCTCGTAGTATTGCTGAATTAGGTATTTATCCAGCTGTAGATCCATTAGATTCAACATCACGTATTCTTGATCCAAATATTGTCGGTGAAGAACATTATTCAGTTGCACGTAGTATTCAAAAAACACTTCAAGTAAGATTTTTATTTTGTTACAACAAAATATTAATCGCACACGCTAGAGCTTGTATTATGTTTATTTCAATAATTATACAAGTGTAGTCGATGTGCAAAAGTAAAATTACGATAAAAACTTAATTTATTTTTTTAAATTCTTTTGTTTTTGTAAATTTAATTAAACATAATTTTTATCGACAATTTTAGGATTACAAATCATTACAAGATATTATAGCTATATTGGGTATGGATGAATTATCTGATGATGATAAATTAACTGTTGCTCGTGCTCGTAAAATTCAACGTTTTCTATCTCAACCTTTTCAAGTTCGTTTAATATAATTAAATAAAATATTTTTTTTTGAAATAATTCTTTTTTCTAAAAGTTGCTGAAATCTTTACTGGTACACCTGGTAAATTAGTACCACTTAAAGAAACAATCAAAGGATTTAAAATGGTTTTGAATGGTAAGAAAATTCAATTTCGATGAATTTTTTTATTGTTTTGTTTTTATTATTATAGGTGAATTAGATCATTTACCCGAAGGAGCTTTCTATATGGTTGGTGGTATTGAAGATGTATCTGCTCGTGCTGAAAAACTTGCTGCTGAACGTTAGGATAAATCAACCAAATGTTCTCTTTTTGTGTACTCAAAAAGTGAGTACACTCTAGAATCGGTCAGTGTGTCCGGCCGTCCGGCCGGCCGTCCGTCCGTTTACACGATAACTTTTGAAAGGAGAGTCAGATCGCGATGAAATTTTCTACACAGTTCAGTCTTAACAAGATCTCGGTCGAGTTCGAAGATGAGAAGGATCCGTCAAGAAATGACTGAGTTGTCGAAAAAATTGTGATTTTTGACCAGACCATCCCTGAGGGGGGTACGGGGATTTTTCGAAAAAAATTTTTTGCTCATAATTATTCACAAAATACATAAATCGACTCAGTTTTTAACGCTGATTCGGAATCTGATATTAGTTTTGAACTGAATCATAGTTTTGTGTACTCAAAAAGTGAGTACACTATAGAATAGTCAGTGTGTCCGTCCGTCCGGTTGGCTGTTTACATGATAACTTTTGACAGCAGAGTCAGATTGCGATGAAAATTTCTACACAGCTTAGTCTTGACAATTTCTCGATCGAGTTCGAAGATGAGAAGGACTGGCCGAGCCGTTCCTGAGTTATTGCGAAAATACCCATTTTTCTCTATAGCTTTCTGTGGAAAAATGGACCCATCGCGACTTTCGTAAAAGACTTTTCCTATCATAGTCAATTAAAACCCCAACTATTATATACCATTCGATAGAGAATTTCAAGAACTACAGAATGATATATAATACATAAAGAAACAAGAAGGCTGACTTACCTATGACAAGGATAATTAAAGAGAACTAGGTTATATTTTTGTCCACGATCTAATTGATCCACAAATAGAGCTTTATCTTCCGGTCACACTGATGATACTTCGAGGTTTTCGGATATGGAGAACTCGAATGTGTACTGCACTTCCATCGAAATACTATTAGTTGTGCAGTGACCAATAGAAATGAAGTTATAGGAAAAACGACTTTCTTAGGGTAAATGAAGGGAAAGAGTTCAAACTTGAGCTGTATTCGGTCCCATGTCCTATTGGTTTGGCAACGCGCAATAGAAATCAACATTTTAAATGGTAGATTTCACAGTATAATTTTGATATTCAGACAGTCTAGGATGATTGATTTGTATGATTCACTTTTTGAAGTACACATAACTCTCGGATTTAAATCCGAAGTTTCCGCATTTATTTTTTCTACTGAATGTTTCTCTCGCTCTGTATGTGCTAACGATATAACCCTTATAGACTATTATTAGAAAAATAAAGCATTTTGTCCATGATTTTTTTTAATGTTGATATTTGGATATAAGAGAGAAAAAGACACCATTAAAATATTCCCGTTCGTTTTTTTTTCATTCTCAAATAAACAAAAAAGACGAATTGTACTAAATGCGCACTTTTGTTTTTTTTATAAATGAATAGAAAATTTTATTATTATCCGTTAACTCAAGAAATTATTGAATTACCTAATTTTATATGTGATATAACTGAATGTATTTTAATAAGATTAATATCAAATATAACACTTGAACAACTTTCAATACTTCGTTCATGTTTACCAAATTTTCTTTATCAACTTTTTCAACATGAACCAAATTTAAATCCCGAAAATGTTATTGATTGGATTGTAGAAGGAATGCAAACATATAATAAATAATGTTCTTTTTTTTCTAATGATATTTATTTTAAACAAAAAAGCGAATAGATGATTTTAGAAAATAAAATAGAGACGTATGGTTTATAATTTTATGTTCATAAACTCAATTTATTCTATCAGGTACAAGTAATGATAAAAGAATTTTCATATTATTGAGTTCAAAGTATAGAAATATGATCATTTATTTAATGAGAATTTTTATCTCGTAATAAACTCTATTTCACGCGAACTGTGTAATGTGATTAACAATTCATAAATATTTAATATTATTTAGAGCTCTTTATTGAAAGTTCGTCTTATTCAATAGTATTCATGAATGTCAAAATTGTTAGAATAAAAAAATTATATCTTAAATTTTAGTGGTTAAGATTAAAACCAGGCTTCGTAGTCGTCCTATATTTCCTATAATTCCTATATCTTTAGAAATTGTCCTATATTGTCCTATTTTTTAAGGAATTTTCCTATATTTCCTATATATTTGAAAAAAGCCAAGATTAATTTAAAATGAAATACATTTCAATCACAAAAAAGAAAAACACACATGCTTCGCTATACATTGCCGTAATTTCTATAAAACAAATAGCAACTAGCGCTAGTGTATACATATTTTATTGTGTATTGGTACATTTACTGTAAGGATCGGTTTAGCAATGGAACCAGGATTTTCTGGTATGCGAAAGCTATCAGATAGGAGGATAAGTTCTGTGCCTTTTTTGTGTTTTAGGCAAATTTATGTCCTTGTGTTTCGTGATTGGAAGGTAATGAAGGCCTGAAGCTTTTAGTTTAGATAGATCTCTATGATTTCAATCTACACAAAAAAATTTCAGACTTCCACCACATTCCAATCATGAGATATAAGGGCTTAAATTTGCCTAAAACACAAAAAAACGTGCAGAACTTATGCTTCGATCTGCTAAACTTTCGCGCGTAAGGTCCAGATGAAACTTGATGGAAATTGATGTTAGTTCTAAATTATGAGTTTCTATTAAAAGATGTTTTCGATGGAACTTTGCGAAAAAATGACTATTCTCCTGAACCAGAGATGTCGATCGCGGTTGAAAACTAACCGCTGCCGTGCCGTGACGATAAAAGAAAAAAGCTAGCGCGCCGCGATGATTGTTTTAAAAAAAACTACCGCTACCAAGCGGCCATGGACACTTCGGTCGTTAACCTTTTAGAAATCTTTTATATTGTTAGCCGTGTTCGATTTTCGAAAATGTTACAGAAAGCTACATCCAATTTGATCGACAGATTTAAAATTTCATCTAAAAATATTGATTTGTTCAGAATTTATAACATATCAAACTTCGGAAATAAATTTTTGAAAATGTAGCAAAACTTCAAAACGTTATAAATCCTGGAGAAACCAATATTTTGAGATGAAATTTGAAATCTGTCCATGAAATTCGACGTAGCTTTCTTTGATATTTTCAAAAATCGGATACTACTAACAGTATCGAAGATTTCTAAAGGGTTCAGGAAACTGCTGATTTTTTTCCGCGAACTCCTATCGAAAAATTGATTGGATAGAAAATCATCATTTGGAACTAATATCAACTTTCAGCAAGCTTCGTTTGGATCCTGTACTCTAAAGATGAATTTCAGCATACCGAAATATCTGATTTCGCCACTAGTTTTGATTAGAATAGATTTTTTCGTGTTGTCCATTTATGTGTTTTGCGTATAATTGTTAGTACAGTTTTTCAATTTGTTAAATCGCAATAATCATGAAAAAAAAGATAATACAATCTGTTTATAGAAATAATTCCAAGCTTTATATATACACATCTATTTATTGTTTCTATTTTTTATTTTTATTTTTTCTGTACAGATATCAGTCCAAAGTTATTAATTAATCAAACAGATTTAATTATTTTTTTGCAGTACACTTTGTTAAATTTCTTATTTGGGAATTGAAAGACGCTTTCGTTTTTGATATCCTGAAAACTTCGACTCGAAGCTGTTTACGGCCTCAGGAATACAGTAATGTATGGCGAACCTCTAAAAAAGCCTCTTACTGAAGAAAAAAACGCCCTATATGTTTCCTATATTTTTATCGAAATCCTATAAAAATGCCACTTTTGAAATCCTATATTTTCCTATATATCCGGAACAGATCGCTACGAAGCCTGATTAAAACTAATTATGGTGTGCTAAATTTATCTCAAGAACGTTGACACTGGCCTTTTTCGTGAACAAATAAGTCAATGTTTGATACATCCTCAAGGTTAAAACATATCGTAGCTGTGAACTTTCTAAGAAACTTTGAGAACTTCCCTAAAAAATCATTTTCAAGATTTTATTATTTATGTAAAATTAATTATAAAAATAGTCTTTCATAAATATAAAATACGTAATATACGTTCTTGATTTATTTCTAAATATAAAATTTGTATTTTTTTTTATCAGTCTTAACTTTTAATAAAACTCCTTCTAGCCTATCGAACAAATCTAATGCTGCTAGCACATAATTTTCTAAATCATCGATTTCTTGAAATGAGTCGTTCGTAGATTGGTTCTGTAGTTCATCTTTAGCCTGTCCTAAATTTAGGTAAGTTGATTTCATATTTTCCAGTACACATTCTAAAGCACGTTGTGTTTCTATTAAATTTTCTTTTATAACTTCAATCTTCTTCTTCCGATCTTTCCATTTAAAAATAAAATCGTATGTAATATAAGCTAAGCCACTCAATGCGCCGATCCCTGCACCAATACCGACTCCAAGTGGTCCTATACACGATAAAATCAAACCAATAGTGAATCCAGCTATTGCTCCAGCGATTGTGAAACCCAAGATGTTCAAAACAACATACTTAACTTGAAATAGTTTTGTTCCATATTTCTCATGCAGTTCAATTGATCTTTGTATTAATTGTTTACATGCGTTCAAGTAATCAAATAATGTCTCTTTTTGTATTCTATCCAATCGGTTTCTGATAAATTCTAATTTTCGATGTTTATCTGCTTGTTTATAGTTTGGTTTTTGGAAATTATCTTTCAGAACGCACAATTGAATTTTTGATTCAAGAATAAATTTTAATAATGATTCTTTAAACTTTTTCACATCTCTTATAAAATCGGCATATTCTCTGAATAAATATCTGTCGATAACCTGCATTTTATCCAACATACCGCTCACTTTCTTCACAATATCATCTAAAAAGCTGGGCTCCATAAATTTTCGAACGATTGTCGGATAATCGAGGTTTTGATTGGATGTAGCTGTAGCCATCGTTGTTGAATCTTATACAAATACCAAATACTAATATTGTAGCTATGCAAAACTTAATCATCATATATTTATATATACTAGATATGTATGTAATCGGATTTTTTTCGATTGAAGAAAAGCAAAAATTGCCTTTTATGGAGTTTTTTCAGCGTGATCATCATGAGAAGCCCACTTGAAAAAAAAATATTATCGAAGTTGTATAGAGAAAAGAAGTTATCTTTTGCTGTGCAATAAAAAAAACCCATTACTTTTGAATACTTGTAAAATATTGACAAAAAGTGTAATTTGAATAAATCTTTTCGAAAATATTTGCTTTAGATAAAAAAAATGAGTAATATAATATTGATGAATAATAGTAAGTCGGACGAGCGATGCGATAAATCGAACAGAAAAGACAACACATCTTGCAATCCTTTCTTCAGTATAAACTTTTTTTCATTTTTTATGCGTCTATTTTCTGGTAGCTGTAAACGAATGATTCGAAATCTTAAAATCTTTCAAGTACAGAGGAGTATGGACTGTTAGATCGAATGGTTAGTGTGTGAATGTCTGTATTGTTGCTATAAAAGAGTATACTTGCCTTGATGTTCCTTTCTTACTTTTACAAAGAAGGTGATTAGACTATGCATTTTGATATTTCTTTTTATGATAAGTTATCTAAAAAACTGAATTCTTCAACAATATTTTCCTAATGACCTTCAAGAAGTAGATATATACAATAGTTTGTCTGGACTTTTAACCAAACGACTCACAATGTACAGTCAATACGTAGCTTTTATCTGAGACCACAAATGAAAATAATTGTTATGGTAAGGTCTATGTATAACATAGTTTCTTGTCATAGCAACATTATAGCCATCAACTGTTTCTATCTTACGAATACAAGCAATAATAAATGGCCGAACATTGCATTTGAATAGTTTTATTACTATTATGTCCCTAATTCTTGTTGACCTATATCTCGAAATTTATATGATTTTATTTTAGTGTTTATCAGTTGTATTTGCTCAAAGCAATCACAGCATTTTTCTTTTCTGAATCGCTCTATATATATATATATATATCCCTGCCTATTTATATATAAATATTAAGTTGTTACGCTTTACAAACTACACAATAACTTTCTGTTCAAGGTCAAAAACATTGTTTCGTTTTGACTTTCACATGACAGAAAAAAAAAGATAAATTGAGAGTAAAGAAAATAAACAAGATTTCTTCGATGAAACAGAAGAATGAAACTATAAGAAACAAATGAATAAACTAAATGAAATATTAAACAGAAGGAATATATACATGGATAACGCACAGAATGTTTCTCTAATGGCATACCTAACATATGCATCATAACAATTACAAAATACATTTTATTAACCTGCAAACTATAATATGAGATGCAATGTAGTGTAAAGCTTATTTTCATTGTTGACTTTTTATTCTCAAAACAAAAAAAAAGCAAAAAATTCTATTCGATCCATTTTTGTTGTTGCAAAAA